AGAACAAAATCCTTTAAAAATATATGCTTAATCCAGAATGTTATAAGAAACAAAAAAAAGCTATATCTCTGAATTTGAAATTAAATAATGTCAAATTATTGCCCAGTTAAAAATTAAGGAACTCTAAACCAGCCTTACACCAAGGATATTGGGGACTCTGAAGCAATGAGTTCAAAATAGCAAAAATGAAGACAGCGTGTCATATACTTAATGACATTTTGGGAGCAATTTCTGACTTCCCCTAATGATAAATTGAAAAGTTCTCTACCTAAACAATGATTACAATGATGTAGATAATCATAATAATTGCCACTAATTTTGAAGATATATTATTACGAGGCACTAAAGAAAATATAGCTATTAATTCATTTAATCTTTATACAATGAAAAGTAGATACTAATATGCAATTGTAAACATAAGAAAACTAAGGCACAAAAATGAAGTAATAGGCCAACAAACATATAAAAAAATGCTCAACATCTCTAATCATCAGGGAAATGCAAATCAAAATCACAATGAGATATCACTTAACTCCAGTGAGAATGGCTTTTATCAAAAAGTCCCCAAACAACAAATGCTGGCATGGATGCAAAGAGATAGGAACACTCACATACTGTTGGTGGAACTGCAAACTAATACAACCTCTATGGAAAGTAGTATGGTGATAACCTCAAAGAACTAAAAGTAGAACCATCATTTAATCCAGCAATCCCACTACTCAGTATTGACTCAAAGGAAAAAAAGACATTCTATAAAAAAGACACCCGCACTCGAATGTTTATAGTAGCACAGTTCACAATTGCAAAGATGTGGAAATAACCCACATGCCCACCAATCCATGAGTGGATTAATAAAATGTGGTGTATGTATACCATGGCCATAAAGATGGGAAACTAATACCTCTTGTATTAACCTGGAGACCATTCTTCTAAGTGAAGTATCACAAGAATGGAAAAACAAATACCACATGTACTCACCATTAAATTGGAATTAATCGATCAACACGTATGTGCACATATGGAAATAACATTCATCAGAAATCAAGCAGGTGGTAGGCGGGGAGGTGGGGTTGGGTAAATGCACACCTAACAGGTACAGTGTACACTATCTGGGTGATGGGCACACATAACTTTGACTCAAACGGTACAAAAGCAATTCATGTAACCAAAATGTTTGTACCCCCATAATATTCTGAAATTTTAAAAAATTAAGTAATATCCCCAAAGTCACACAACTAGTAAGACATATATATAACCAAAAGTTCAACCCAGGCAGCCTATATTTTTAATCACCATATTATACCTGTCTTTTCTGAGCTAGTATATTAGGTATTAGATAAGGTAATTGCTATGGTTTGAATGTTTTCCCTCCAAAATTCAGGTGTTTGCCAATGTGATGTTATTAGGAGGTGGCGTCTTTACAGGCTGATTAGGACAGGAGGGCTTCTCCCTCATTAATGGAATTGAGGTCCTTATAAAAGAGGCTTCAAAAACATTTGACCAGCTGTAGCTTGCCCGTCAGCCTTCCTTGGAAGCAGAGAGCAGCCCTTACCAGACCAAACACAGGGACCTTGATTTTGGACTTCCCAACCCCCAGAAATGTGAGAAAATAAATTTCTATTCTTTATAAATTACCAAATCTCAATTATTCTGTTATAGCAGCACAAAATAAACTGAGACAATAA